GAGCCGAGATCATGCCATTGCACTCCAGCCTGGGCGACACAGCAAGACTCTGTCTCAAAAAACAACAACAAAAAGCTCCTTAGCAGTATGCCCTCTCCCACCCCATCCCTCTTAACGGATTGCTTTAGCACAGAAGGGTAAACAGAGAAATGAACCTACCAGGGACTGTACAACAACATCTACTAATGTAGCAAAGAAGCCCCTGCTGGCATTGAGCTTTTCATGGGCGTACCGGACAGCTCGGCGGAGAATCCGTCTCAACACATACCTGTAAGAGGCAGAAACTAGTCCCCAACATTCCCAGCTGAGGGTTTTGTCGTGAATCCGTTGGAATCCTACCCAAAGCAACACCTCTTTCAGGAACTTTCTTTTATCCTAAGCATGCACTTTTGCATTCCCCAAGGTCATTAATTTTAGTGTAAGACTCAGTAACATACCCACAAATACCCATCAAGGCTTGCCTAGGGTAAACGCTGGTTTGTTTTCCTTTCACATTCAGTTACCCATATAGGAAGGCAAGACAGACAAGATGTGTACTTGATGCCGGTGATCCCAGGTCCTGCCTGTCAGTAACAGAGCTTCCCAGGGCTGGTCAATACCTTGCCCCTGCCAATCTCCTATCAGGCAACTTTACATACAATCCTTATCATCTGTACTCAGCAGCAGAGATTTAGGATAGTGGCAGCTATGTGACAGTAGCTGAAACTCCCTTCATCTTTTAAAAAAGCGGTGGAGGGGGGCCGGGCGCGGTGGCTCAAGCCTGTAATCCCAGCACTTTGGGAGGCCAAGGCGGGCAGATCACGAGGTCAGCAGTTCAAGACCAGCCTGACCAACATGGAAACCCCATCTCTACTAAAAATACAAAATTAACTGGGCGTGGTGGCACATGCCTGTAATCCCAGCTACTCGGGAGGCTGAGGCAGGAGAATTGCTTGAACCCGGGGCACAGAGGTTGCAGTGAGCCAAGATTGCACCATTGCACTCCAGCCTAGGCAACAAGAGCAAAATTCCATCAAAAAAAAAAAAAAAAAAAAGTACAGCAAGCATGACATTATGGGAATAGCTCTCAAGAAGCTATTAGGTGCAATAAGGCTTAGTTCTTGAAAGAACAGGCCCATCCTTGTTCCAGAGATCAGAGGGGTAATCTGAGAAAGAAATGAGCATTTAGTTGAGAAGACAGCCACACAGCTCCAAGTTCCTCTTCCCCTGCTCAGCTCAAGGAAAGGAATGGAGTAGACTCCAGGGCTACCTGTTATACTGGATGAACACAAGGTTCCAGATCTCCAGCACATTAGGGTCGTCCTGGTTGACAAGGTGTGCGGCATCCCGACCACCAATCCGGTCGTAGTGTATCTCACTGCAAGGACCGCAGGGGCCTGTGTCACCCATCTCCCAGAAGTTATCCTTCATGTTGCCTGGGAGGATTTTGGTGTCATCCAGCCTGACAAAGGAGTAAAGATAAGCCCAGTTACAGCCCCAACAAAGAGTTCTGCCCAGACTTACAACTACCACAAAGGAAATTCTTAGGATTGGCCGCACACAGTGGCTCACGTCACTGCAATCCAGCCTAAGCGACAGAGCGAGCCTCTGTCTCAAAAAACAAAAAAAAAAAGAAAAGAAATTCTTAGAATTTTTAATAAAGAAGTTCCAACCTTCAGAATTACTAATGCTAAGCCTGTACATAAAACCTGCTAAAGAAACAGAACATGACTCTTCTCAAGAGTGCCTACAATAGAAGAGAATACAAAATATACACATGCTATGATCAAAACTCAATGAAGATACACAAGGACATGAGTAAGGCCTAGAAAGGAACACATAATAATGAAAACAGCCATGTGCATTGCTTGAGCTAAGGAGTTCGAGACCAGCCTGGGCAACATGGAGAAACCCAGTCTCTCTAAAAATTATTTAAAAAATTAACTGGGTGGGGTGATGTACACCTGTAGTCCCAGCTACTCGGGACAGGATCACTTGAGCCCAGGAAGTTGAGGCTGCAGTGAGCTGTGATCATGCCACTGCACTCCAGCCTGGGTGACAGAATAAGAGCTGTCTCACACACACACACAAGATTGTGCTTGCTTAATAAAGTGTAGATACACAGTACAGGAAGTCAAGTAAAACAGGATTTTAAAAACCAGGGTCAAGATTAATATTTAATTTTTACACGTGTTACTACCAAAACTCCAACTACACTTAGACTACAGAGTCAACCAAGTAGGAGTTTTAGATCAAGTAAAAGGGGAAGTTGGGTTGGAATAATATATCTAGAGCAAAAGTAATTAAAAAAACAGAGAAGCAGCCCTATTTCCAAGTATAGTAAAAAGCTATGCACTAAAGGACAAAAGAATTAAGGAAAAAGAACAAGAAAATGAGGCAAACACATCATGGGCAGCCCAGCTATCTACAGAGGGCACACACCCCATGTTCAGATTCTCCTTGATGCAGCACTTCACAAATTCTACTAAATTCACAGCACAGAACACATATAGCTCACCTGCTGTCTTAGCTTTTATAGTATTTATTATACTTTAAAATTACATTATGTTTAAAAAAACTGGTTAGCCACAGTGGCTGATATCTGTAATTCCAGCAATTTGAAAGGCCAAGGCAGGCAGATCGCTTGAGCTCAGGAGTTCAAGATCAGCCTGGACAACATGGCAAAACCCCGTCCCTACAAAAAATACAAAAACTAGCCAGGCAGGTGGTGCATGCTTCTAGTCCTAGTTACTTGGGAGGCTTGAGATGGGACGATCACCTGAGCTCAGGCAGTAAACTATGATTACACCACTGCACTCCAGCCTGGTTGAGAGTGAGACCCTGTCTCAAAAAACAAAACAAAAAAATTCCTTTTTCCAGCCGGGTGCAGTGGCTCATGCCTGTAATCCCAGCACTTCAGGAGGCCGAGATGGGCGAATCATCTGAGGTCAGGAGTTCGAGACCAGCCTGACCAACATAGTGAGACCCTTATCTTTAAAAAAAAAAAAAAAAGAAAGGCTAGGTGGCTGATGCTTGTAATCCCAGCACTTTGGGAGGCCAAGGTGGGCAGATCACAAGGTCAGGAGATCAAGACCATCCTGGCTAACACAGTGAAACCCCGTCTATACTAAAAATATGAAAAAATTAGCTGGGCGTGGTGGCGGGAGCCTGTAGTACCAGCTACTTGGAAGGCTGAGGCAGGAGAATGGCATGAACCTGGGAAGGAGAGCTTGCAGTGAGCTGAGACTGCGCCACTGCACTCCAGCCTAGCTGACAGAGCAAGACTCTGTCTCAAAAAGTAAATAAATAAATAAAATAAAAATTAAAAAAAGATATGAATGCATCTAAAAATAATTAACTCTGTCACCCAGGCTGGAGTGTAGTGGAGCGATCTCAGGTCACCGCAACCTCCACCTCCTGGGTTCAAGTGATTCTCTCGCCTCACTCCTCCCTTGGGCATCTCAAAATGAACCCAGAGATGGGAAATGACCACGTATTCCAGGTCATAAAACCCCACTCTGGCACTGAGTGTCTTTTCACTCCTCCATACTCTCAAGAAGTGATCTGCATTCTTACCCCAAATTTTGCCAGATCTGTTTGCATTCCAGATCTGGTTCTAAGCCAGCTGCTTCATCCCCGCCAAAGTAAGTAACATAAAGTCTTTCAATGGGAATGCCAAACTCTTGAGTGAGGAGTTCCAGAGCCATCTTACATGCCAATTCCTACAAAAAGAACAGAGAGAAAGACATGGAACATCACCAAACCAAAATCTATTTAGCATAAAACCAGATCCTAGGAACAAAGACACAAAATCACAACACGTTCACTCTAAACTCAATCCAATTCAACATCAGTTTACAGAAGAAATCCAAATATATACTGAAATCATCAAATTACAGGTACTACTTCCAGGAAATCTTAGAATTAATAAATCCCATTCATTCCTGAATCAGCTACATGATATTTCACATTTTAAAACATGCAAAATTAGCACCCAGTTCCCACTGTGGAAAAGACCATTTTCCTCAAAACCCTAGTGGTTCTCCTGCTCTGAACTTACCTTAAAGTAATCTCCAAAAGACCAAGAGCCCAACATCTCGAAGAAGGTGTGATGATAGACATCCTTGCCCACATCGTCCAGGTCATTGTGTTTGCCCCCAGCCCGGATGCATTTCTGGGTATTGGCGGCTCTGCTCAGCTTTGCCATGGGGTGAGATGGGTCAATTGTGTTCAGGAAGATGGGTTTAAACTAAAAAAGGAGAGCAGTTCAACTTTTAAAGGGTGCAGGTGATGTCAGGTGGCCACACATTGGCAGGAAGAGACCACCACGCACTAACTGTGCAGTTCATGATTAACATGCCTGGAATATAGACATCTGTCAGAACAGGTGGCCTGGTGGAGCCAAAGCAGAGGGTAGCCTCTCATGGAGCAGTTTCTCCTTGAACCTAGCTCCCTAACACTCCCCAACACCACCAGTGACACCACCTGCAGAGGGGAAAGGCCTGCCAGATCTAACCGCCAAAGGTTGATGTGGTGAAACCTGGGCTTCTTCACAAGTCTCTGATGTTCAGGGCTTATAACATCTTTCTGGAAGAACTTATTCTGAAAATTGATATGTTCACTTGGCAGTAAATGTGAGGAAGAAGAAAAAAACCCTGACACATATTAAGGGAATAAAATCGGCACGTTGATGAACCATTGGATGTATCAGTCATCTAGCTGGGACGGCCTTGCTCTGAGGATGCACCAGTCATGCTTTGATGTGTCATTGTTATTTGTTAACTTTGCTTTACATTTCCCACTAGACCTGTTCAATTCACTGCTATTCAATTTGGTAACCAACAGACAGGTTTTCTTTTTTTTGAGATGCAGTCTGTGTCGCCCAGGCTGAAGTGCAGTGGCGCAATCTCAGGTCACTGCAACCTCCATCTCCTCGGTTTAAGCGATTCTCTTGCCTCAGCCTCCCAAGTAGCTGAGATTACAGGCATGCACAGGTACACCTGGCTAATTTTTGTTTTTTTCAGTAGAGACGGGGTTTCGTCATATTGGCCAGGCTGGTCTTGAACACCTGACCCAAGTGATCCAAAGTGATCCGCCCGCCTCAGCCTCCTAAAGTGCTGGGATTACAGGCGTGAATCACTGTGCCCAGTCTTACCATTAAACACTTGTGACCATGTAAAACTGAATTAAAATTAGGCTAGGCAAGGTGGCTCATGCCGGTAATCCCAGCACTTTGGGAGGCCAAGAAGGGAGGATTCCTTCGACCCCAGGAGTTCAAGACCAGCCTGGAAAACATAGGGAGACCCTGTCTCTATTTTTATAAATATCAAAAAGTAAAATTAAATAATTAGTAATTAATATTTTTAAAAATTAGAAATTCTCAGCCAGGCACAGTGGCTCATGCCTGTAATCCCCAGTACCTGTCTCTTATACACATCTAGATGTGTATAAGAGACAGGTCTCACTCTGTCACCCAGGCTGGAGAGCAGTGGCGTGATCTCAGCTCACTGCAACCTCCGCCTCCCAGGTTCCAGCGATTCTCCCGCCTCAGTCTCCCAAGTAGCATAATTTTTTTGTGAGACCAGTCTCACTATGTTGCCCAAGCTGGTTTGGAATTCCCAGGCTCAAGTGATCCTCCCATCTCAGCCTCCTCAGTAGATGTAATTACAGGGGCACTGTGCCCTATTTTTCATAATTTTATAGTTAATATTGTAAGACGTAGAATATGTTCCCACTGTTTCTAACTTTCCATGCCAGAAAAGACACCTAAGAGAAAAGAAAACGTCAACTCATCCCAGAGTGAGGAGCATCCTAAGGGCTGCAGATGCACTGGGTGAGCATCACAGGAAGAGAACCATCACAGGAAAGCCCTGAGAACACCATCTAACCTGAACCCACTTCAGCCACAACCAGCCTGGAAAGTATTTAGTGTCACAGACATGCTGACAAATTCCTCTTAAACTCCTTTATAAACTTGTCATGCTTTCATCATTTCAAGAGTTAACCCTTTTCTCTCACAATAAACCTTTCAAATGTCTTTTACTTTTCTTTCCTTTTTTGAGACAGGGTCTCACTATGTTGCACAGGCTGAAGTGCAGTGGTATGATCAGGGCTCACTGTAGCCTTGAACTCCCAGGCTCAAGTGATCATCCTGGCTCAGCCTCCCGAGAAGCTGGGACTACAGGCATACACCACTACACCTAGCTAATTTTTGTATTTTTAGTAGAGACAGGGTTTCACCATGTTGCCCTAGGCTGGTCTCAAACTTCTGGATTCAAGTGATCTGTCTACCTTGGCCTCCCAAAGTGTTGGGATTACAGGCGTGAGCCGCTGCGCCCAGCCTCACGTATATTTTTCATTCAACCTCCCCAAACTGTACTAATAAATTTTCTTCAGCAATGGATCCAGAGTGGCACTGGTGGCAATAGTTTCAAGAAAGGGGTTAGGTGGGCGGGGTGTGGTAGCTTAGCCTAGCCCTGTAATCACAGCACTTTGGGCAGCTAAGGCAAGAGGATTTCTTGAGGTCATCGGTTCGAGACTAGCCTGAACACCTTGGTGAGACCCCATCTCTGCATATAAATAAACAAAATAATTTAGGCCAGGCAAGGTGGCTCACATCTATAATCCCAGCACTTTCGGAGGCTGAGGCGGGTGGATGACCTGAGGTCAGGAGTTCGAGAACAGTCTGGCCAACACAGCGAAACCCCGTCTCCACTAAACATACAATAATTAGCCAGGCGTGGTGGCGCACGCTTGTAGTTCCAGCGACTTGGGAGGCTGAGGCAGGAGAATCGCTTGAACTCAGGAGGCGGAGATTGCAGTGAGCCAAGATTGCACCACTGCACTCCAGTCTGGGCGACAGAGAGAGACTGTCTCAAAACAATAATTAAAAAATAAATAAAATAATTTTAAAAGCTGACATGCTGGAGCATGCTTGTAGTTCTAGCTACTTGGGAGGCTGACGTAAGAGGATCACTTAAGCCCAGGAGTCTGAGGCTACAGCATGCTAGGATCATGCCACTGCACTTCAGCCAGGATGACAGAGTGAGACCCTCTCTCTAAAGAATAATAGCTGGCCGGGCGTGGTGGCTCATGCTGTAATCCCAGCACTTTAGGAGGCCGAGGCAGGTG